GACATAAACCACTAGAAGAACCAGGTGTGCGGACAAAAAATTGTTGTCGAAATGTCCTTTAACCCGATCCTCATGATTGGCTTTGCTCATTAAAAGTCGCATGATTCAGGACCGTAAGGAATTTTCTTGCAACGTGGAAACCTTGGATTACCGAAGAGTTTAAAACAGTTTTTCATGGAGTTTAGTCTTTTTCCATGATACCCCGGTTCTCGTAATTTGCTATAATCTCAAGATGAGCCTGTTGTCTTAAAAATATTGGATTATGGCTAACCGTTTTTTTTTCAATTTCGTGTGCAGGTCCACTACGAGCGCAATGCGATCGTCAGATGTCCATCCGACCTGCGGCCGACGTGAGGGGGAGTGAGTCCCCTCGAATATAATATTGCAAGGATTTAATTTATGATATCGAGGTCATGATATCTAGTATCACCTTCCGGCATCTTTGAACCATGATTGGAAATAATTGGTAACATCGATACCTCCGACAATACCCAGCACTGAGCATTGCAGTAAATCGGAACTCAGCGCTTGGCTTGTCGAATCATAATCGATAAATCGAGAAAACGATGAGAGGCATCGATGAACATAGGACTGTATCGATTGAGATCGATCAATGACGCTTCAAAAATTGCGAGCCCCTAATTTTATTTCGATTGCGTGGTTCCTGTACTGCCGTCCTAAGGAAAAACGCCGAATGAGCCTTTAGACATTGCTAAATTTCCTCTATTAAAGTACGAATTTTCAGAGGAAATCTTTAAATATTTTTCCTCCAATTTTTTAGAGAATTTAAGTCACAATCAGATCTAAATTATTTGGAATTTTCAAGAGAAAACAAACGTATCTCTCCTTAAAAATAAACTATTTATCGGAGGAAATTTGGCAACTCTCGAATGTTCATACGGCGTTTTTCCCTAGCACGCCAGCGTGGGGAAGGGCTCTTTCGTCCACTACCGTGCTAAGGAAGAACGCCGTATGAACATTCGAGAATTGCCAAATTTACTTCAATGAAATGTTTACTTTTGAGGAAAGTTATGAATATTTTACCTTGAAATTTTCAGAATCTTTAGGTGAAATTGCGAACAAAATTATCTGAACAATTGAAGGAAAATTAGTTAAAAAATTTTCCAAAAATTCGTGATTCATCGAACATTGGAGAAAAAAAACACATTGGATCTAGAGTCCAGACTCTTGAAAACATTGGCAAGAAAAAATACTCTTGATTCAATCGGATTTTTGCTTGAATCAAAACGAAATCCGCTTAAATTAAGAGGCTTGGTTCTTGATTTAAGCTAGATTCTGATTGAATCAAGAGTACTTTTTCTTGTCGATGTCTTTAAGAGTCTGTACTCTAGATCCAATGTGTTTTTTCCCCGAAGGAAATGTGGCAACGCCTGAAGGTTCATACGGTGTTTTTCCTTAGCACGGCAGTCTAGGCCGGTCCTAGTTTCCGAATCAGTCTTACTCGCCCGCGCCGAAATCCTCTCGTTTTCGGGAGCTCAATTAAGTGGAAAATTAACGGCGAATGTCATTAGCTCCGTTCTTCGCATGCCATGACGCTGCGATTGCCGGTCCTGGCAAACAAAACCGAGAGTGAAATTGGCGGTTCGTAGGGGCGTTAAGGTTATCTAAACATTGACAACGGTCTCTTTCTCCCCGGAGTTTCTATCGCTCCGTCTCCTTGCACAGAATTGCATGTAATTACCCCCGAAGAATCTCCGCGCGCTGCAGTGGAATTCGTCAAGGCGTCGCTGGATAAGGAGGAAGGAAAGTAGCTCGATTTTGCTGACCTTATGACTTCCTGTTCATGAGTATCGAAAATTCTGATTGATTGGATCTGTTTGAGGAGACACATTCTTCGTGGGATTCTCTCAGGGCGAATAGGCGCAACTGTTAGTGCTCACAAAAAATAGTCAGTGCTAATGACATAGCCTTCTGTACGAGTACACAGGGCTCCTCTACTTTCTTTGTTATATTATACTTACAAAACTTTCCTGTTATGAGAACAGAACTTTGGTCGTGAGCATACGGAACGTTCTGTCCTCATGACGAAAACTTCTGCAGCTGTAACAATGAAAGTGGTTTCTGGACATTCTATCAACAATTTACTGTTCACGCACTTGTTTTGTCCATTAGTTTACGTCCACGCGTAACATACGCAACAATGACTTGGTCCAAGCGTTATATTTTAGTCCGTGTGTAAAATTATATTGACAATATCAATGAGAAAATTAAGAGAGAGAAGGATTTGTTGTTGAGGTTTTATTTCTGTCCTTAAAATTTTTGATATAAAATATACCTTATACGTACTTTTTTTTTTTTTTTTGAAATGCAAATACTACTTTACTTTGAAACCATTTACATTTTTTAACGTGGCAAATATTAGTAAAACCTTTTCCATGCGATGGCGTTGATATTCATGCCAATAAGTTGTGTTGAAAGAAACTGTGCAAAAATTAATAAAAAAGAAAAAAAACCAAGAAGCATGCAATCTTTCGTTATAACTTTGTACATAGATCTTTAGAGTCGAGTACGTCCAATTTGAGCTTTTGGCTACGCGTACACCATGTTGCAGCACAGTAAAAGCATAAAACATAAAATAAAAAATTAAAAAGTTTAGAAATAATTAAATTTGACACAGACCACCACCTCAATATTTACAAAACACACATTATACTTTCCTTTAATACATATTTTCCCCCCATCAATTTAAATGAGAATAATCCATCACAGTGTGCAAACGTTTCAAAATCATGGGTTGAAAAATGCTCATTCCGCGAGTTAGAATATTAAAGCCTAACTTATTGTTAGAGCGGAGCGGCGTGCTGCCGGCACGGAACGCACACTGGCGCCTACAAACCTAACAGGGATACTTCACGCATTGCGCAATGCGTGAAGTATCCCTGTTAGGTTTGTAGGCGCCAATGCGGGTAACGCGCTAGCCGCCCGCCCGCCGCGCCGCAGCGTGCCACGGTGGCGCCTCAAGCAACTATTTCACAACAGAGTTGTTGCACAGTATCATGATGTGTGATGAACTTTAAAAAAAGTGGCAAATCCAGATGATTTCTTTACATTTCAGTTTTAATTATATTACTGTGAATTATGCACTCTCTCAATTGGTTCCACACGTACCGTGCGCACCGTATCCTCTTAAATGTGCGAAGCAAACACGAAATAAGTTTGCGGAAAATAACCCAGTACACTGACATGAATAAAATAATACCTAAAATCACTTATGTATTTAGGGAAAGCTTTAGCTTGTGCGTCGTTTATGAGATAAGCCAAAAAAGCCGGTTCCTTACTGCTAAACTCGGCCCATGCGCCGCATATTTACCGCATGGTTCAATAATCATTTTAAAAAAATACCTCAAGTACTTTAAGCACGATAATACTGCCATGCTAAGGAAGAACGCTGTATGAACATTCAAGAGTTGCCAAATTTACTCGGATAAAACAGGAATTTATGACGAAATTTTTGCACACATTTCCTTGAAATTGTCAGATATTTTAGCTTAAAGTGCGAGCAAAATAGTGGGGAAATTTTGAAGAAAAATATTCACAACTGCCTCAGTAAATTCCTGATTTATTGGAGGAGATTTGGCAACGCTTGAAGGCTCATACTGCTTTTTTCCTTAGCACGGCAGGATAGCCGACTGACTTTCTCCCAGGCACGTCTCCTCAGATGAAAATGCAAGTGGATTCCTCGATCCAAAGGATACAGAGACATCAGCCGAAAGCTCTCTTTCCAGCGTGCGCAAAACAGAAGATTAAACGCCCATTGTTCCGAACAAGAAATTACCGTATGAGGGGAAATTAATTCAACTTAAACGGGAGGAAGACACGACGATGGAGATGGGGGGCGTGGCGGGGGAGGAACTTACGGGCTTGCAACTGTGTGAATCCACGTGAATCAGACCCAGACCGTTCCTGGCCAGCGTTGTCGCTGAAATGCTCCAAGCTCTAATATTAATGAATTTTCACTAAAATATCGCATGACCTTTCAGGCAACTGTGAAATTTTCACGGATTTGAAATTGATTTGATAGAGCTGGCTATGCAATCCGCACTTAAATTTATCAAAAGATCGTGGCTCGATGTTTCGTCTGGGTCAAAGCAATAGAACATAGCCTCAAACAAAAATTTTAGGATTTCAGTTGGAAAAGCTGAAAATTAGGAAACTCCTAACAATTTTACTTTTCATTGCCGTTTTATATTCATAAGAATCAAAAATCCAACGCAAGAAACCTGTTCCTTCAGATTACTCAATTGACTTTTGGGCTATGTTTACATGTTGAACCAATCGATATCGATACAATCTCACCTGTTCGACGTATAGAATACGAACCAGAGTGGCAAAATGTCATGAAAAATAAAATCTTGAAATTTCACGTGGAATATTTCATGAAATTTCAGAAATTTATGAAAGATGTTGAAAAATACCGGTTCCTTTAACTGTTTCGCAAAGTGTGAAAATCGTGACTTTCCTCTTTTTGTGTGTGTTTGAGTGCGGGTTGCATACTCTACCCCTGAAGCCCCCCCCCCCTGAAATATTTCACAGCCTCGTGAAATTTCATGAAATATTTCACTGAAATTTCCAATATTTCATTTCTTTCTAACGTTTCATGCCATCCTGATCCGAACCATGAAATTGTCATTGGTCAAAATTAACATTTTTTGGAATGAAATTTGGCAACCCTCGAATGTTCATACGGCGTTCTTCCTTATAGCACAGCATGGCAGTGTGGAACCCGCGACTTCTTTTGCAGTTATACATCACCGGAAATTTCAAGATTATTCTTCGTAAAAGTTAACAACACTGTAATCCTGGGCCGTTCCGCGGCGTCCTCGGGGCCATTGTCAAATTTCCGGGGAAATCTCCCGAAACCCGGCGTCGGGGGCGTCGTCCTTCCACTCTTCCTTGGCCGCGCGGGGGAGGGGGCAACGCCGTGGCGCCGGGGAAAGGTGAATCTGCCCGCTCCGGGCTCCGGGGATAAGAGATAGTTGTGTTGTGCGTCGAGTGGTTAGCCAGTAAGGCGCCGGTGTTGGATCAGAGCTAATCACCATGCTTCCCACAATCGTGTTGTACTCGTTGGTTCAGTGTTGGAGTTGCGTCGCTCAGCTGTCCGGTGAGTCTTCCGCATCTTAAGAGTAGACGCCCCACAGTAGATCGAGTAGATAGGAGAGGTCGGACAAAATTTGGAAACTTTAAACGCTTATAACTCCGTTTAAACAAGATTTTGAGGCTCTAAAAGTGGCTCCACTGGTTTTCTCGTGACATTTTCTGCGTGAAACAATCTTTAAAATTAAAAATGTGACGAGAGAAACATCAAAATTTGCGGTTATAGCCAAAAATTTCATGTCCGACCTCTCTAATTGACTCGATCCTCTGTGCGCCCAGTGATCCTGTGATGATCCTGCATCCCTGTGATTAGTGTTCTGATTATTGAGATTCATAGACAAAGCTATAGACAGAGGAGATACAAGGTGTGATCCTGCGGGCTGACTGTTGAAAATGGACAAAGTGAAAAACAAAGAAGACAAAAAGGACACGGAGGGATCCTTGTTCGAAGCAAATGGTTGCAATGAACACACAGGGTAGGTAATAGACTAGCGAACGGCAACCCACGAGAGACCTTTTACTTAGTTCATCATTTTCTTTCTAGTCTATAAGAACCACACATTTCAACCAATAAGATCGCTCCATACTTCTTATGTCTTCTTTGTCCATCGTTTTGTCTATAAGTATCAATAAGCAGCCCGCTGTTCGTGGAGGTAGGTGGTTGCGTACCCAAGAGACCCCCTTTAGATGGTCCATCATTTTCACCCCTGGTCTGTGAGAATCTCTCGTCTCAACCAATAGGATCACTCTGTCTCCTATTTGTCCTCTTTATTTATCGTTTTGTCTCTAAATTTCAATAATCCGACATCTGATATTACTAAGATGCACGGAGTCCCTTGCCGTGATAGAGCCCGAATTTCTAAGTTCACACACTTAGAATTGAAGTCAGCATCGATTACTCAAATTCTACGGCAAATTTTTGCGCAGCAATACTGTCAAATACTGCAATTTTGAGTGAATTTTTTTTATAAATCACCGGATAAAGCGAAGTATGCTTTTAAACATAAATATACTCTTTTTTTGCTGTAAACTCAAAATGAAAATATCATTTAAGGAATATGAGCTCAATATATTTGTTTACTTCTGATGGCGTTTGTTTACCTCCAAGAAAATTTAATGATGCGGGCTGATTACTGAAATCTATATGCGAAGCTTTAGACAAAGAACACAGTGGCCCAATAGAGGGAGCCAATTGGTTGAAACAGGTGATTGTTTTAGACACAGACTGAAAATATTAATGGCTTAACCATAAAGTATTTCGTGGGTTGCCGATGGTTGGTCTATATTACTTACCTCCTAAGTCCTCGCAACCACCTGCCTCCACCATTAGGATCGTTCCGATTGATCTTTGCGTCTTCTTTTGTTTATCGCTTTGTCTATCGATCTCAAAAAGCAGTCCGCAGTAGATTCTTATTGGAGAAGAGAAACATTTACACGATCTCGGCAACAGTCATTACGCTTAAGCTCTTTCAAATTTCTACGCTTCGAATCTTCCACATCCGCGCGTCTGACCCGCGACACGTGGTCACGAATTTCTCCTCGATCCGGACGGAAACCTGTCTGCATTTCGGCACGACCTCTCAATCGCATAAGAGTGCACTCTGCCGAGGCTCGTGTCGAAATTTAGGTAGCTTGTATTGGCTTACAGTCCACACTGTCCAGTTGATGACTACGCAAAAGTCCCGGTAAGGAGAGATTAGTTTGGAGAGCGAAAACGCTCGAGAATGCAATCTTTAAGTTGTTCGGGTTACGTAAAAACAGAGCTAATTTAACTGCACGCTCGTCCTCAACGACTGAGGAGGACGGCTTCGTTAAAAAATATCAACGGACGGATTTTAATAGTCTCTCTGCGCGTTTGGTTTTAAAAATTAATGTTAACGTAATTGATTATGGTGACGTGATTGATTGATGTAACGTATTTGTTGCCCTGAGGTCAAACAAAACAGTTCAAAGCACACTGATTGCAACTTTCTGTGTAGTGAGTGTAATTTAGTATGCATTTTTCGTCGTTTTCAAAATAAGTATCTCGGCGTAGATACCGCGAAAATGACGTTGTTACGGTGAAAATAACCGTGAACTTTTTACATTGATTTTAAAAACCTAGTTGTAGACTAAGAGCACAAAACTGTGGTTAAACACTGTGAAATTTTTTAGGTAAATGATCTTTTTGTAGAAATGCTAATCTGATGACTCGACTAAGCTATCATTTTTTATGAAATTGACAATCGCAGCTTTGGTATTCTTCGGCGGTTTAATAAAGTTCTAATTTTAATATATTTGTCAGTTTCTCCACACATAAAGTTCGTCCCTTTTGATGGATTGTTATCTCGTGTTTGTTATAACTTTCACACAATTCAAGAATTACGATATATTTGTAATCGATATATTTGTAATCAGAAACACTGAGATCACGTTATAATACAATTACGTTACCTATTTTCCTGTGATTTTATGCTTGGAGATAGAGGTTATACTATGAGATAGTGTTTTCAATAAGAATGGACCACTAGACAAGGTATGAATTTAAGCGATTTGATACATGTTTCTTAACCAGAATTTCACGTAGAATACGATTAGCGCAACGAATATTACTGAAACTAACTCCTAACGAAGATATCAACGTTTTTATTTTACATTGGTTACGAGGACTTTGAACTGCCCGCTCACAAGGAACTCAAAGCTCTACGAGAGTCATTTCGTCCACTACAACGGTTTCAGCAAGCTTCTCAATCGAGCAATGTTCATTTCCCTCCATATGTTGTTCAAACTATTAGCAATTTGCTATAGCTGAGCCGAAACGTCAAGATTGAGGTTGCCAGATTTTTAAATCGCAGCATACTGTCATGATAACGTTTAGCGCGCGATGTGAATCACGTAGAGTATTGAGTTTTCATGAGCGGGTGGTTTCAATTCACGCACCAAAAATCATTAAATACCTCCGTAAGGAGTCCATTTCGTTAATTTTCGTTGTGCGCATCGTGTTTTACGTGAAATTTTAGTTAAGAAACATGTATCAGAGTGCTGAAATTCGTACTTTGTCTAGTGGTCCATTGATGCAGTAAGAAATATCGATGTACAAATCAAATGAGAATTGTCATCCTCTTGATTTGGATCCGTTTGGATATAATCTTTGTGGGGGTCTTTATTAAATGCACGTGCTTCGGCAGAAAAATAAACCATATTTTTAAATGAATGCTAAACATGAAGACGATGACAAAAACACTACGCGGAAAAAGTGCATAAAATATCCAAATGAAAAGCACCGTTCGCCAAGGCCCTCATAGATACAGAGGAGTTATTAAATACTAAAATGAAAGGAGAATTGCATCCCGTAAATGCACCAAGGCCAGTGTTGTTAACAGCTTTAAAGCTGGAACTAAAAAGCCGGATGAAGTTTGCCTCATCTTGTGCGTGTATTCTCAAGTGCATTCGTATTGCCCATTACACAACTTTTACTTCGACCTTTACATCGAACAGGAATGATGACCACTTGAAATTTTAAATAAGATGCGAGAGCAATGTTACCTAGGAATGGGAAATAGGTCAATGAAAATTGAAACATCACTCTGGTACCCACCCACGGTGCTATGCGCTTTAGCTTATTTGAAGATTTTAACGCTGATGAAGAACAGGGAGCGAGAGAGAGACATCAATCGCTGTATCGAGAAAGGGTAGCAAAAATGTATCGTTCCTCATCAATTAAATCACGCCCTCTATCTTGCTTGCCCACTCTTAGCAGAGGTGAACTTTAGAAAATTATAGTGAAAAATGATTTAGAGCACACCTGATTCCAAGTTAAATATTTACCATGCTTCGCTGAACAAACCAATCTCAATGGTGCACTCTCAATCCCTCCTCAGCGGTAACACTCTGCGAAAGACACCAAACTTACGTCGTTCTCTATTTAAAGCTTTTACACCAGTAACGTTTAAATTTCTGCGCATGAATTCACTGCAATATTGGAGTATCTGAGTGTCAGAAAACGGAACGAAAATCTGTTCGAAGTTCGATTAACATAATTTATATGTATCACTCATATGTTTTATATTTGAAAATATCTGTTGAAAATTTAGGAAATATGATAAAAAAAGAGAGTTATAAATGTTTCTGCTTTAATTGAAATATTTTCGGTTACTGTCTAGCCCAAGTTTTTATCAATCAAGTAAAATATTTTTCCCCCATTTAAACGCGAATATGCGTCAAGTGTCAACGCTTGAACACACTGTTTGTAAACTTCTTTTAACGCCAAGATTTATACTTGTACTAGTCGTGATTAGCTCGCTTTGCGAGCTGACACGTCTAGCCGGGGAGTGCCCCTGGACCCCAGTTCTACGCTTCGCGACGAACTTGCGACTCGCTCCGCGAGCCGCCACCGCCCCGCACAGCTTTTAACATTGATGAGGAGACAACATCTATGTCTTAATCTTCTTTTTCACCAAGTTTTAAGGAAATTGATGTTCTAGGAGTCCGGACCGCGTTTTCGTGCGGGGCCGCCATCTTGGATTTGGAAGTAATGAAAATCCGACCAAAAATGAGAGTTTTCCGTCGAAATACACCTCCTAATACCGAATTTCACAAAAATCGATGGATCGGAAGCCTAGATAGCAATTTAGACCACGTTCGTCATCTTGGATTTTTGAATTTTGAAAATCGGACCTAAAATTCTAATTTCCCGTCGAAATACACCTCCTAATACCGAGTTTCACAAAAATCGATCGATATCAGGAAGCGATGTAGCATTTTAGACCACGGCCGCCATCTTGAATTTTTGAATATTGAAAATCTGACCAAACATTCTAGTTTCCCGTCGAAATATACCCCCGGATACCGAATTTCACGAAAATCGATCGAACAGGAGCCGACTTAGCATTTTAGACCACGGCCGCCATCTTGGATTTTGAGATTTTGAAAATCCGACCAAAAATTCGAGATCCCCGTCGAAAAGTACCCCCGAATACCGAGTTTCACGAAAATCGATCGAACAGGAGCCGACTTAGCATTTTAG